TAATATTCAAGCATAAGGAGAATTTTTCTAGAGGATTAAATATGTATATCCCTCATATCAAATTTTTATTCATAAATAATGTAAACAAAGATTTGTAGTTTGAAGTTCAGCATAGGAAAGAAAAGTCTTAGCATAAAAATACTAATTAGTGCTGTTTAATCATTTAGTTTTCCATCAACTGTAACATGGATAAATTATGTCAGCAATTTTTAAGGATTTAAAATTTTTAAAAGTATTTGCAATTCTTAAAAATAATTTATGAGTACTATATTGCAATTATGATATTTATATCATTAATTTGAACCTCTCAAAAACATACCGTTTTAAAATTTTATTTCCAGAATTATTAGTTATTAATGTTACCACCATATTGCCCAACTTCGTTGCTTCAATTTCTCTCCATATGAACTTAATTCTGTCTCCTAATGTAACTTTTATGCTTACGATGTTCTATAATTCATTTCTCCTTTTCATCTTCTGACTCTTCAAAATCATATATATTAATCGGCGAATTTTTTATCTTATACCTTCACTGAAATTAGATTCTAATTCAATAAGAAAATGAAAACATTTAAAAATACTTTTCAAAATTTTTTTCATAATACATAGCAAAGCTTTTTCTAGAATTTAATAAATGAAGTTTAGACTATTTTGTATCATCATTTAGCTTACCAATATATTTGGAGTCTATATGATTCAATTTATAAGCAAAATAACAGCCTCGCTATCAGTTGCTTCTCTCTATACATTACATTATTAAGACAACTTCATGTATTCACCAAGAATAATAGGAAGATCCTTTAATTATCAATAAAGGATGCGCTATCTAAACTTTTCATATAAGAGAAAAGACTTTTGAATAGGGCTATTTGGTCTTAAAAAAGGAAACAATCATCATTAAATATAATTCTCCTACTGGATGGATCAAAATTATATTGGCCCAATTTCAATTAAACCTCTGATGTTCAGCTGTATAGATTAGGGATCTCTAACATCCCAGATTATCAATGCATTTGAAAACTGGTTGAATACTTGAATTAATTCAGGGATTGCAGGATAATGCTATGAAATTATTAGGAATTGCATCTATATTGGCTGCAAACTTTGCAACCCTGTCTTATCATTTGTTTTGAGTGACCTAATAATCTTTACCAAGATCAAAGTGTCTTTGCAGCTACAATTTTAATAATAACAAGTGTCACTATTCTTTGGAGATTCATATAAGAGATGCACCCAATATTATTCTAATGCCATAACTAATTATAAATGATGCCAAAAACTGTGCAATTTTTTAAATAGGCAACATAAACCAATTTTGGTGATGACTTCTTTGTTTAAGGTGGGAACAAATGCTAATTTGGCTCAAATTTAATTTTAGAATATGCCCTAAAAGACAAAGATACCTATTCCTGGTATTTCACTTACCCTGAGAATCCTTCATCGCTTCAAAGTAATTTGATCCAAAAGTAGAGAGACCATAACTACTATGTGTAATTACAAAATAATCTAATAAAAATTTTGTTGAACCTCTAATACTGAACTTCAACAAAAGATTATTGCAGATGGCTCTTTCTAATGCATTTGCATTAGAAAGAATTCATCCCATAAGAATGTTATAAGAAATGCTAAGGAGTATGCTGATGACTAATATCCTTGATTAAATTAGATCAATTTAGAATCATCTTCTCTGCTCCACATTAGTTGATAATTAATTGGTATTTCAATAATACATCTTTTGTAACATAAGTCGAATGGTAAATTAGGATAAATAAGAGTAAATATTAGTTTGTGATTCAATCAATAATTTCAAATAGATATTTATACTGTTAAATCTTTATCAAGAAAGGGTGAAAAATCGATTAGTTTGAATTAGAAATCAACATATTCAAAAATTATTTTGTTATTATTAAAGTTTTAAATATTTTCTTGTTTATAAAGTATAATTTATTATTTAATGATAGGTTTTAAAATTGAAGAAAAAAATCTTAATTTAGGAAAGGAGTCTTTTCAATAATATAAGTAATTCTTCATTAAAGAGATATTCTACTGCAAAATTGATTGCCTTCAAGAAAGTTTAAACTATCTAGTAAATTCATATATAGATGATTCAATTAATAGATTCTCTTAAGCCATAGGAAAAATATAGATAAGATTTAACCCCAAGTTTTATAGAAAAATTAGAAAATTATTTATAATCAATTAACAATGTTATTGATTATCATTTTAATGCAATCAGTTGGCTATTTTTAACAGAAGTCCCTATATTCAAGCCAAAAAAAAAACACCTTAAATGATTTAATCTGTTCAAGTCATTCTACTAAAGTTAATAAACACATTGTTAACAACATTTATCCGATTTACACAATACCTTGAAAGTATTGAATAAAATTGATCATGAACTGCGAGTTCGCAAATCTCTCCTGTTATTTACACATCCAATCAAAGATTTTCATTTAATAAATTTAAACATTAACTGTATATTTTGGCATCCCCCTTTCACATTTGGAATTAGTATCATAAGATGGAAGAGCACAGTATTCCATTTCTTCTCTACACATCCTAAATTTTATGTGCATATAATATCGCTTAAATTAATCACTACCTCTAAAAAATTTTCACATAAATAATCAGCACAACCTAAAGTGTCTAAATTAAAAGTCAATAAAAATTGTCTTTAACATATTTTAAGATTTGTAGTTTGGCAATTTCAATTTCTTACATTCTAGATTCGCATCCACCTTTAAGCCAAATGCTCCTTTCTTTATTATAGGTTACTTTATACATTATTCCACACATGATTAAGGTATCAATTAGTATCCTCCAGTTAATTTTCCCATCCGATTTTCTTATTCCTGACAATCTTTATGAGTATAACAAGCAAGAGCATGATAACATTATTTTTGTTAGAATTTATTTTTATAACACGCAATCTAATTATTCAAATGAATAATGATCCATTTCGTAAGCATAGCCATAGCATATTTCAGGTATAATTTAGCATCCTTAGTTTTCTGAAGTAACACAATCAAAAAGATTGCCATAATCCTAACTTTATTGATAATTAGTAAGTGACATTGGAGCATTACTTATTTTATAATGCTATTCGACATTTTTAACCAAAAGCATAAGCCTTTCCAATCATATTAATTCTTAGAATCACAATACTGATTCCTTATTGTAAAATAAACTTAATTAGTTGTATACACATTTAACATAATCTTCATTCATTATACCTTTACATAATAATCCTATATTAACTATAATATGACTAACATCCAAAATCCTTAGTAAATGGTAATTATTCAGACACCTTTTCAACAATTTCCATTTTAATTATCTTTACTTGATTTATTTTTAAGGCATTAAAATTATTCACATATATTTTCAAAAGACTCCAATTATTTGGTCCTTCCCATAAACTTTCTCGCATATTCTACATCCATCAAGCACTGAATTACCCTTACAATGTCTGGTTAAATATGAAGCTAATAATTCACACATTATGAAATCGATGCAATTTTTTTCTTTTCTCTTTTCTCCAAATCCAACCACTGTATTTACCAAATTAATTTTTATTCATAAAAGCATTTTCCTTTTATAATCGCTGTAATTTCTTGATCAAATTGGATATGAATTATCATATTTAATTAAAAAGTTAATAATAATTGAGTTGAATAATGATGATCATTGTTGCTTAGTTTTTCTTTAATACGGCTCACATTCTATGGAATTAAGTTTTCTTACTCTCTCCGCTAGTTTCTTCATAGACTCTTTCATCATCTTCTATATCTTTGAGTAAAATATCGAATAAATGTCTTGTAATTAGGTTTGTTACTTATCTAGCTTTCCTGTCAGTTGCCTGGTTCACCAAATAAATGATCTATAATGAGATTTACATTTTCTCCAGCTATGTTTGAATGGCTCAAAAGAATTCATACCCAGGGATTCTGCGAATCACCTGGGTATGACTCCTAAATACCCTCATTTTCATACTGACTCATATGACTTTCTCTTTGATCTCCATTAAAGCAAATTCCTCCTACAAAAAGCTTTCGCCCAAGTTGTATTCATCATTTTGTCAAGGTTGAAATAACTTCTTATAATATGTATTTAGGAAATATAATATTTTTATTTATTTAATTTATCAGTTTATTTACATTCGTCATAATATCATAACTATCTTAAGAAGTTCATACTCGTTGCTTTAGAATTTATACAATTTAACTTTGTATGACATTTTCGATGATTTTATCCAGAAATTCGTTTATTCATCTTAAAAGAATTTGAGAATTGGTACTTTGCAATTCTAATTTAGATAAGTGAATTAGTTAAGAGGATTGTGATTTTGTTTAATACAAAAGAATGGGATACGTGTTGAATAATACTTATTTAGAGTTGTGATTATAAGCAATTAGATCCTAGAATATCAGAAAAGTAGGATTTGTCAATACTCTGTATTAAATGAGATTTTTTGTTTTAAAATACTGCAACCAATCACTTTGGGTTGTGCAATAGTAATAGAAAATACATTACGGAAATTTTAACAAATTGTAAGGGTTCCATTAATCTAAATTTTAATGATCTTAAAAAGATTAATCAAACAAGAAGATTCTGTGAAAATCTGCAAAAGAAAGAATTTATATGTACAAGGTTTTAAGCTGTAATGACAATTTATTAATAAAATGGATCTGCTATGCTTCTAGAAGAAATAAAAGAGAGAAGAATAAAGTGTTATAAAAGTAATGATGGAACTAATTAATCACATTAATCCAATGATCAGCTATCAATGTTCAATGTGTTGTTCGCTTAAAATTTGGGAGCTAGTGTCCTCAACTCATTAGAGAATTTATTAACACAATATCTTAAGAAGTGCTTATTTTATCTTCGTTTTAATCATGATAATTAATCAAATTAATAAAAGGAAAAATTATCTAGAAGCCATTTTAAGCAAGTAATAATTAAATCCATAATTTTTATTTATGAAATGAAATATTTAATTAATGAATTTTTTGATAATTTTTATTCTTGAGGGATTGCTTCAGTTTTCAAAATCACAATGGCAATCTTATGTGAATTACTTAACCAAAAATACAAAATTTAGTTATGACCAAGGGAAAGATTTCTATGAGCATACTGGAAATTTTCTAATTTCTTCAAACTAATCAACTGCTAATTTTATCACTTGTACAAGCCCTGAAACAAGTTACATAACTCTAAACCAAATCTATCCATCTGCTCAACATTATTTTAGTACTTCGATCGTGAATGAGTAGTGGATATTAATGGATTTATTTTTTCATGGTACATGGCTATCTGAAAATGTTGAATTTAGAATAGGATAATTTTCATACTCATACTCCTATACATCGCCTACGACATATCCAATGAAAATAGGATTTTGTGATAGCATTCCATTTGAAGTTAAAACTTTAAACTTTTCAATATCACAAACTGTTGGCCGTATGAATTTTACATCTTCTAATTAAAATTAAGGCTTTGTTTCTCTTAGAAATATTTTCATTTATACATTCAAATGCTATCCATCATGTATATCATGCACAGGTCCAAAATAAAATGAATGCACAAGATGTTATTATGGGCTTCCAACAAATAATATTTGCCCACCTTGTCCAATTAATTAATACTAGTCGAAGTACTAGACATGCAGAGATATTTGTGATATAGATTCTCCGTTATATTCCAATGGGTTTTGTAAATAATATCCAAGTAATTATTTTTATTAAAAACGACTAGTTAACTTAATAGAAGCTGGTGATGTTGATTACGATGTTGCTTCCACTGATAATTTGAGATGGAACATAAAATACGATGAAAAGCATCTAGATCTATCTCCAACTCCTACCTAAAAATACCCAGAATTTTATGGAACATTTAAGTTTAATTCTGGTATCTATAGATATTTCAATAAATTGTCTACTTATATATATTCAACCTATTTAGTTGGATTCAAAATAGATTTTATTACCTTCAATGATATTCCAATGAATTGTGGAATATAGTTTAAGATTAATAATACATATTATGGATCTATTTATAGAAATGCATCTGGAATTCAAACTCATAGATTCAAAATCTTTGATAGCTATGAATAGAGTTCATTTTATAACCAGAGTATGAGATATCATTTAATTGCCTATTTCGACATTCCTAAGTATTCGGTTCTATTTTCTGCAATTGGAAATTATACGTATATCTCTATTTATTTTCCTTAGAGATGACACTGCAGGATGGGGAATAATTTTACTCAAAATTACCTCAGGATATTGCCCTAGCTATTGTTTATTGTGCGAGGTATCATTTATATGTAAGACCTT